AATATTATTTTAACGTTAAATTAATAAATTAACATACATTAACATACATATTTAAATCTTCAAAGTTCCACATTTTCAAATTCAGACACTTTTATATATTTTAATATTGATATTCAGAAACTTTTTTAATTTTCAGAATATAGGTATTTAGATATTTTCATATTGATACATTTATTAACTATTGAATTTTTTAATTTACAGATTTTTGAAATGTGGAAGTTTATAAATTTTAAAGTTCCTGAATTGAGAAATTTATACAAAAATTAGCAAGTTAAATCCATGTATACATAGAGTTCATTCTATAAGTTCTTACTACGGCTCGAGGGCCATATAGCGAGACTTTACTGCTTTCTGAGTAATTTCCCGTTACCTTCTCACTTCAACACTTTTGCGTGTTTCTGTTAATAAGTGAAGGTTTTAACATTTTGCAAGTAAAAATTGTCACGTTAACCTATATGATCGTAAATAAAAGTCATCGTAATAAATAACAACTTTTTGCTTTAATAACACAGTAGACTCTTATACTTTAAATTCTCCTATTTGTCATACACGACACGCAATTAACATTCTTTGGTACTTTATAATTGCTCGACAACTAGAAGTTGTGTAAAACTAGCTGTAGTAATGTAAATAACAACATTGCACGTTAATTGTGACATTCAGTAGCAGAAAACAGTATGTGTAAATTTCAACATATCTCAGTTTTCAATTCGTATTAAGTTCAATATGATTCATTTGGTGTTGAGTTGAGTGAACTTCGAAACTTAGAGATTTTAGAAATTTGGAAGTTTACAAATTTTTGAATTTTGATATTTTAGAATTTTGGAGGTTTGGAATTTGAGAATTTTTGAGTTTTGGAATTTTGGAATTTTGAAACTTGGCATCTTGGAATTTGGTATTTTGGAATTTGGTATCTTGGAATTTGGAATATTGGAATTTTGAAATTTCGAGAATTAAAAATTTGGGAATTTGGAAATTTGGAATTTTGGATATCAGAATTTAGGAATTCGAAATTTTGGAATTTTGGAATTTTGGAATTTTGGAATTTTGGAATTCGGCACTTTGGAATTTGGCATTTTGGAATTTGGAATATTGGAATTCGGAATATTGAAATTCGAAATTTTGAAAATTTGAAATTTCGAGAATTAAAAATTTGGGAATTTGGAATTTTGGATATCAGAATTTAGGAATTCGAAATTTTGGAATTTTGGAATTTGGCACTTTGGAATTTGGTATTTTGGAATTTGGCATTTTGGAATTTGGAATATTGGAATTCGGAATATTGAAATTCGAAATTTTGAAATTTTGAAATTTCGAGAATTACAAATTTTTGAATTTGGAATATTGGAATTCGAAATTTTGGAATTCGGAATTTCAGAATTCGAAATTTTAAATTATTGCAATTCTGAAATTCCGACCGTCTACCATAATACCTCGACTCTTCGCAAAAAAGAGTAGCTAACCAGCAAAACCTAAATTACACGAAAATTAATCACGACAGAAGCTTCCAAATACGATTCCCGGTATAACCTGATCACCGATATAAATAGAATTATATGTACATACAATTATTAAGGTAAACTATGTACTCTGAGTCAGCGGTACCCCGTCGCGACAGTCAACGCGATAATTGCCAAGTAATATTAAAGAAAACAATGTTGCATCTATCCTTATCGTACAGTCTAGATGATAATCGCGTCTTAATTAAAATTAATTTATATTCTCGCGTTCCACTTGCAAATGTTTCTTTTTTCTCACCTGGGTGAAAATGATTTTCCTTTTACCAGTCTCCTGGTTTTCGTCTCTTTTAACACGCGAGTTGCGACAAACACCCTCTTCTTTCTTCGTTTAATAAGCATTCGCATTAGTGGCATCTCGAGGAGAGATAATTAGAAAGCCGAAGACGTTGCTCGCACTTTATTAGTACCAAACACGCAACCTGCGTCTCTCCATTATGCAAGATATTACTTTTGCGCCTGTTATTGCTGACCTAACCGACGAGCCATTAAACGAGACCCGTCAAAGCGTTTAAAACTGACCCGAGCCGATCGTGCGATGAAAGAAATGCTTCATCGAGAAAACTTCGGAATTCATTTTCTGTCCAACCGGGCAGATAACATCGATCGGTTACGGTGTTGAATGGACGAAAAAAATGTATTTTTACTCGATTCGTTCTGCAATGTTGTCGATGACGAATGCGACACTAGAACCGCTGTTGCGACACAATTTTGCACCTCGAAACCCGCGAATTGCTGACCCATTCTAAATTCTCATTACACGGGTTTGCAACTTTCTCTAAGTGTAAATAAACCGTCGATGAGCCTACCAAGATATGCATAATTCTTCGCTCCATTCGCACGAATCCTTGCTAAAACTTCGTTCTAATAAATCCCGAGATTTCTTCTCGGTTGCGATTATTTATTCGTGATGACGAGCTAAATTGCTCAAGGTGCCTAACGAGACTCATCGGCTGAACACGATCTCATCTATTCAATTATGACTGCAACATTTTGAATTCTATTATCGTCGCGTTAAAGCGTGAAAACATTAATGAGATCATCCACGATTCGAACGTTGATACCGTTCGGACTCTTCGTTTCTTATGGTGGAACTGTCTGTCACGGGTGACATGGTAACCTTATGGTAACATAGACACGAGTCGTAACTAGACTCTTCCTATTTGCTGTCCTACTCTTTCGCAAGCTTTCTTCGGTCACGGATACCTGAAGGAGGGGACTGTTTCGTAACTTGAACCACGGCGGCTCTGATCAAACGGGTACTTTTTTGCAAGCTTTGATAAATAGATTTTGTTGAGCTTTGAGATTTAGGAATTTGGCTTCTGTATATAGAAATTTTTTGAAGTTTTGATGAGTTGGGAATTTCGGGATTTGAGATTTGGGGTTTTGGAGATTTGGGAGTTTAGGGATTTGGGAGTTTGAGGAATTTGGGATTTGAAGATTTGAGGATTTAAGGATATTGGGTTTGAAAGATTTGGAGATGTGAGGATTTGGGAATTTGGAAATTTGGGGATTCAGGGATTTCAGGATTTGAAGATTTGAGGATTCAGGGATTTTCAGATATGAAGATTTGGGTATTTGGAAATTTGGGAATTCAGGGATGCAGGAATTTGAGGATTTAAGGATTCAAGGATTTGAAGATTTAAAGATTTGAGGATTTGAGGATTTGAGGATTTAAGAATGTAAGGATTTGAGGATTTGAGGATTTGAGGATTTGAGGATTTGAGGATTTGAGGATTTGAGCATTTGAGCATTTGAGAATTTGAGGATTTGAGGATTTGGGGATTTGAGGATGTAAGGATTTGAGGATGTGAGGATTTGAGGACTTGAGAATTTGAGGATGTAAGGGTTTGAGGATGTAAGGATTTGAGGATTTGAGGACGTGAAGATTTGGGGATGTAAGGATTTGAAGGTGTAAGGATTTACAGACTTAAGGATGTAAGAATTTGAGTGTTTAAGTATTTAGGTATTTGAAGTTGTAAGGATGTGAGTATTTAAGGATTTGTGGTTTGAAAATTTTGGTATTCAGGGATTTGGAGATTTGAAGGTTTAAAGACTTTGAGCCTTGGCAACTTGATGATTTGAAGATTTATGGACTTCAGAGATGTTGAGGATTTGATAATTTGAGAAATACAGGAATTGAAAGAGGTTTGGAGATTTGTGTACTGTAGGCACCATCAAGATTTTAAAATGTTTAAGATTCAAAGAGCTGTCCATTTGGAAACTTGTAAGTCTAAAAGTTTAGTAAAGTAGGAACATGAAAAATTGTTAATATGTAGATGAACATCAGATCGACATTACATCGACATCGGATCGACATCAGATCGATATGAGGACATTCCTCCCAAACCTACAATACATCTGAATACCTGTCTATTCTATTCATAGAACCAGAACTATTCCATATTACATCACTATTACATCGTCACTATATTTCATATCGGTTTATATTATTATAGCTCCACCCATTATACTCCACCCTACGCGTCATATCGCCACCCTTTAGCGTTATCGCACATTTCAACGAAAGCGTGAGATCTGGAAAATTCTCAAGAAACTGTAACCTTGTGATCTGTATCGCGTGATCCACGGACTTAACCATCCTGACACCGCCTATATACATCAGTAGCCTTTCACATACTGGCGAAAGACACTGTAGGAGAATAACATCTCTCCCCCGCAGCCTTACGATCCTCCTATATAAATTATACACCTAAAGGTCACTGGACGTTTCTTCGGGCCAGAACCATCATTCGTGGCGCGTTCACGATGTCGCAAACGGATAAGACGGTTTTAATTTCTGGACAACGAGGCCTTCCCCTTCAGCTTCGCTGATTTATGAAGCTCGTCCAGCCTGCGAAAGATAATTGCGTTCGATCGTTGGATTATTACACTCCGTTTAGTGCGAAGTGCCGAGGCTCGATAGAGAAATAACTGCAGCACGCAGGTTGTCGCGATAAATATTCTGCGGTAAATATTCATTGAAGATGAATTTTCTTTGCGAGTTCGATGTCGATTTTCTTCAATGTACACGGTAAATACAGATGTTTTTGTACCATAATCAATTGACGGCAGGAAGAAAAATTATCACGCTCGGATAATTAATATACTTGCAAGATTCGAATCATCTGAGATTGTTTTTTGTTATGGAGTAGTTGAGAATCAATGAGAGTATCATAAGAATGAACTTGCACGATCAGTGATTCATCATACAAGGTGCTTCGTGGTCGGGACAAGTTATGTAAGGTTCTGTTGGAAGAGGCGTGAGATAATCCCACGAAGAGCATCTTTGATTTATTGTAATCGATTATACAACATTTCACGACCTGATATATGTATTTCGAATCAATCGCTCCCAATAAATGAGATCGTTATCTCCGCGTTATGAATAAAATTGACGTACGTGTTATGAACGTACCATGCACAGCATGATGATTTATTTATGATTCAGTATCCGTTAATTAGTGGTACTTTCTGTTACAGCGAATCTTGTGGATTGCCACAATAGTGGCAGTGCTCTCCACATATGCGACAGCATCTAGTGAGAAGAGCAAAAGGGCGATAGCGACAAGCGGAGGCTACAACTATGAACCGCCAAATGTTATATTCACGCTACCGCCGCGGTAAAAAATGAAATTATTTACAAGCATTACTGATGTCAGTAAGTAAATAATATTCTTAAAAATGATGGTTCCTGTAGAACACCGCCGCCGCCAACACCACCACCGATTACTCCAAGACCGGTGACACCAACGTACCCAACGCAAGGTCCACCAACCAGGCCCCCTGGGCCACCAACTAGGCCACCTGGGCCACCACAGCCGACTGGTTATACTTATCCAGCGCCAGTACAGCCTACATTACCACCATATAAGCCACCATCGCCGCAACCACCAGCGCCTCCAACATACAGGCCGCCATCGCCTCAACCCCCGGCGCCACCAACTTACAGACCACCATCTCCACAACCACCAGCGCCGCCAACCTACAGACCTCCTCCTCAACCACATACTCCAACCTATAGACCTCCTCAACCGCCTGCACCACCAACGTATAGGCCTCCTTCTCCTCAACCGCCTGCGCCACCAACGTATAGGCCTCCTTCTCCTCAACCACCTGCGCCACCAACGTATAGACCTCCCTCTCCTCAACCACCTGCGCCGCCAACATACAGACCTCCCCCACCTCAGCCTCCATCACCACCAGGTTATAATTATCCAGTGCCTCCAAAACCATTCCCACCTGTAACTAGACCGCCTCAACCACAACCACCAAGAACACCACCACCGTATACACCTCCTTCTCCTCCTCAACCCCCGCCAACACCAAGACCTCCACAACCTCGTCCTCCAACGCCACCACCATACGTACCACCGTCTCCACCACAACCACCAAGACCTCCAACCCCACCACCGTATGTACCACCTTCTCCACCACAGCCACCAAGACCGCCAACCCCACCACCTTATGTGCCACCTCCACCACAGCCACCAAGACCTCCAACTCCACCACCGTATGTGCCACCCTCTCCACCTCCACGAACTAATCCTCCACAAACACCGAGACCTTACCCCCCGCCATCGACGGGTTATAGTTATCCTGTACCCCCACAACCGACTAGGCCACCTCCACCACCACCACCACGTCCTCCAACACCGTCACCATACGGGCCTCCTCAACCACCACAAACACCACGACCTCCACCACCACGTCCTCCGACACCGCCACCGTACATACCACCTTCTCCACCACAACCGCCAAGACCACCAACCCCACCACCTTATGTGCCACCTCCACCACAGCCACCAAGACCTCCAACCCCACCACCATATGTGCCACCTTCTCCACCGCAACCTCCAAGACCTACTCCTCCTCCACAAACACCGAGACCTTACCCCCCGCCATCGACGGGTTATAGTTATCCTGTACCCCCACAACCGACTAGGCCACCTCCACCACCACCACCACGTCCTCCAACACCGTCACCATACGGGCCGCCTCAACCACCACAAACACCAAGACCTCCACAACCACGTCCTCCGACACCGCCACCGTATGTACCACCCTCTCCACCACAACCTCCAAGACCTCCAACTCCACCACCATATGTGCCACCTTCGCCACCACAACCTCCAAGACCTACTCCTCCTCCGCAAACGCCCAGACCTTATCCCCCGCCATCACCGGGATACAGTTATCCAGTACCTCCACAGCCAACTAGACCGCCACCACCACCACCGCGACCACCAACACCTCCACCATACGGGCCTCCACAGCCACCGCAAACACCCCGACCTCCAATACCATATGGACCTCCTCAACCACCACAAACACCCAGACCTCCCACCCCACCACCGTATGGACCACCTCCTCAGCCACCACAACCTCCACGACCACCCTCACCACCACAAACTCCTCGTCCTCCTTCACCGCCACGACCGCCTACTCCTACAGCGTATCTACCTCCTTCTCCTCCAAGACCTACTCCGGGACCGTATCAACCCCCACCAGTACCATCGTATACACCTCCAGGTCCTACCAGACCACCATATGGACCTCCACCTCAACCACCTCAAACTCCACGACCACCTTCTCCGCCAAGACCACCTCAACCACCGCAGACTCCAAGACCTCCTCCATCGCCAACACAACCTCCTTATGGACCACCAAGTAGACCATACTTACCACCCTCTCCACCCCAACCACCGCAAACTCCGCGACCACCTTCTCCACCAAGACCACCTCAACCACCGCAGACTCCGAGACCTCCAGCACCGCCAACACCTTATGGACCGCCAAGTAGACCATACTTACCGCCGTCTCCTCCACCACCACCTCCAACGCCGCGGCCATATGTTCCACCATCTCCTCCACAACCACCTCCAACGCCACGGCCATATGTTCCACCATCACCACCGCCTCAACCACCATCTCCACCAGGACCGTATATACCTCCAAGTCCTCCTACTAGGCCACCGTACGTTCCTCCTCCACCGCCCCCACAGCCAACTCGACCACCTCAACCACCGCAACCTCCTCGACCATACATCCCACCAAAACCAACTCCTCCCCGACCTCCAGTCACACCGCCAAGGCCAACACAGCCTAACACTTATCTACCACCCGATCGGTCAACACCAAGACCTACACCACCACCATTTTCTACACCAAGACCTACTCCTGGATATCCTACACCACCACCATTTTCTACACCAAGACCTACTCCTGGATATCCTACACCACCACCATTCTCTACACCGAGGCCTACTCCTGGATATCACACTCCACCATCAGTCTCCACTCCGAGACCTACTCCTGGATATCCTACACCACCACCATTCTCTACACCGAGGCCTACTCCTGGATATCACACTCCACCATCAGTCTCCACTCCGAGACCTACTCCTGGATATCCTACACCACCACCATTCTCTACACCGAGGCCTACTCCTGGATATCACACTCCACCATCAGTCTCCACTCCGAGACCTACTCCTGGATATCCTACACCACCACCATTCTCTACACCGAGGCCTACTCCTGGATATCACACTCCACCATCAGTCTCCACTCCGAGACCTACTCCTGGATATCCTACACCACCACCATTCTCTACACCGAGGCCTACTCCTGGATATCACACTCCACCATCAGTCTCCACTCCGAGACCTACTCCTGGATATCCTACACCACCACCATTCTCTACACCGAGACCTACTCCTGGATATCCCTCACCACCTCCTAAACCTCCAGTAACGCAGCCCAACACTTATTTGCCACCAGATCGTTCAAAGCCTACCCTCCCTACGTCTCCTACGTATTCCACCCCCGGATATCCGACAAGACCTCATGTAAGCACCCCTTCCGTTTCTACGCAGACTCCGTATCATCCAACAGGCACCGTACCAGGTACTCGACCTCCACCGTACCTACCTCCTTCTACACCCTCTTCGCCGCGTGTTACGGTGACACCACCTCCACCACCTACGCCTATTTACACCATTGTACCAACGTCGACTATTTACACCCCGCCACCAACCGGTCGGCCAGCTCCTCCACCCACTTTGCCGCCGACCACGAACAGGCCTACTGGCTACTTCTACCCGGTGCCAGAGAACCCATTTGAACTACCGCCTTTCCTTCGATGAAAAGGAGAACGAGTGATCTTTTCTAGATGAACTGACAGTCGCAAACTGACTTCTCTTCTCCTTTTTTGTAATTTTTATATATATAGTTTAAGAGCTATTTATGTAGTGCTATTAAAGACGACGGTTCTGCTAAATCTTTTGACGAAGGAATTGGCGTAATGTAGGAGATAACGTAACTGGATTCTTGTCAGTTACTTATGCGTGTATATGCAAAGATCGTTGTAATAAATAAAAAAAAGATGTGTTCAGCGAGGCGAAGTATCGACATTTTTCGTGAGATATTAATGTAGGCCTGTTACGGGAATGGCACGTCAACTTGATGTGGAACCTTTGTTGTGAGATTATCACTGTGTTAAATGATGTACAGTTTATACGAGAGGAAACGAACACAGGAATGTACGAAATGTAAAAAGAGTTCTACTTCTTTTGTATATGTTACGCACGCATACATTAGAATAAAAATTTGTATAAAATACTTGTGGTGTTTTATTGAATTTCATTATTTTGAAACGTCGAAGTCTTCAGATTTATGGACCTTCAGTTTTTTGGGGTTTCGAGGTAAATTTCTTAATTTTCAAATTTCCAAATTTTCAAATTCCCACATTCCCAAATTCCCACATTCTCCAATTTCCACATTTCCCAATTCTCACATTCTCCAATTTCCACATTTCCCAATTTCCACATTCCTCAATTCTCACTTTCCCCAAATTCCCACAATCTCCAATTCCCACATTCTCCAATTTCCACATTTCCCAATTACCACATTTCCCAATTCCCACATTCCCCAATTCTCACATTCCCCAATTCTCACATTCCTCAATACCCACATTCCCCAATTCCCACATTCTTCAATTTCCAAATTCTCCAATTCCCACATTTCTCAAGTTCCACGTTCTCCAATTTCCACATTCCCCAATTCCCACATTCTCCAATTTCCACATTCCCCAATTCTCACATTCTCCAATTTCCACATTCCCCAATCCCCACATTTCTCAAATTCCACATTCCCCAATTGCCACATTCTCCAATTTCTACATTCCCCAATTCTCACATTTCCAAAATTCTACATTCCCCGATTTCCACATTCCCCAATTCCCACATCTCCCAATTTCCACATTCCCGAACTCCCACATTCTTCAATTCTCACATTTCCTAATTACCACATTCCCAAATTTTCTAAGTTGGACATCTGAAAATTCGAAATGTGTGTATGATACTTTAGCCCTTCACCTCAGCGTCCTTAATCTCTCTGACACTTGAGGAGCTCACCAACATTTTAGGTCACAATTAAACTGCTTTGTAATGAATAAGACAATTATAAATTACGAAATGAAATGAAATTATATTCATATTAAACTTCCATCTTTCCAAGCCGCTCTTCAAAGAAGTTCGAATGACCGTGAACGAAGACCGAGTAAACACCTGATTTGCCAGAGGGTCTTCGAGAGTCACCTTTCCGCCTACAACACCTCTGCTCATGAATATTAACCATTACGAAATACTCTTTTGTACAATGAATCCCAAATATCGTTGCTTCTGGTCAAACAAAACGCATGGCAAATGTTTCGCTTTCGCAATCGAGGCTCGCAATTATTATCGAATTAACGTTTCTTAGCTTCATCGATCTAACGACTGATTGTAATTACGGTGATGTTCTCGCGCAAAACAATGCAGGGATAATAGTTCATTTATCGAGTCAGATACCGTGACGTAATGACATTGACATTCTCCTGGGATATCGTGCAATAATATTCGACTTGAATGTTATGGCGTAAGTAGCCCATAACCGGCCTCCTACTACCATAACGAGCCTCCCCCACGTACAAAGAAATTTTCTGCGTTCATGTTAGAATCCGAACAGTGAAAACTCCGTAGCGAGAAACCAGTTCTCTTTAGTTGCATATAGAACTTCGAAAGAATATTGTCCCACGATCTTGCGACACGCCTGCTTTATTCATTCATTAAAGATCGAAGACAATTGATCAACGATTTCCTGAGAAACTAATTATCGTGATCGTGTTCAATACTAATCGATACTGTATGAACTATTCAATTTTCTTCTTTTCTCTTTTACCTATTTTTGAGCTATTTTTTTGTATTTTTATCGCGATCGTTTAATGATTACGAAGGAAGTCGTGTCTTACAAGTACTTGTTGCGAGTGATATAAGGGTAAGCTGATCGATAGCACAATGCTGCGCGTCGTTTGTGAATAATTGTAAAGAATACGAGTCGACAGATATCACAAAAGGACATGCTTGAGGCTGGACGAAGGAGTGCGATCAGTACGTCTCAGCTCGGACTTTATTTCGATCGTAGTGACCGATACAACAGAAATCGCAGTAGCTCTATCACCAGGAAATTTGCGATTGGAGTTATGGTAGTGGTCGTGGTGCTATTTGTGAGTATTCGAGTACTTATACAAGTAATTTCATGGTGAAAATCTCCTTATCAAATTTTTATTAAATATTCCATTCATTAAATATTCATGTAGGATTTATTCAATTTTATGCATTCAAAATTTATTTATATTAGAAGGTTTTTCTACGTCATTTGTTCAATATACAGTTCAAATGACGAATTGATGAATTGCTGAACTGATGAATTGATGAATTGATGAATTGATGAATTGATGAATTGATGAATTGATGAATTGATGAATTGATGAATTGATGAATTGATGAATTGATGAATTGATGAATTGATGAATTGATGAATTGATGAATTGATGAATTGATGAATTGATGAATTGATGAATTGATGAATTGATGAATTGATGAATTGATGAATTGATGAATTGATGAATTGATGAATTGATGAATTGATGAATTGATGAATCGATGAATTGATGAATCGATGAATTGATGAATTGATGAATCGATGAATTAATGAATCGATGAATCGATGAATTGATGAGTCGCTGAATTGATGAATTGATGAATTGATGAATTGATGCATTTTCGAAATACTGATGAATTGATGAATTGATGAATTGATGAATTAATGAATCGATGAATTGATGAGTCGCTGAATTGATGAATTGATGAATTGATGGATTGATGAATTGATGAATTGATGAAATGATGAGTCGATGAATCGATGAATTGATGAGTCGCTGAATTGATGAATTGATGCATTTTCGAAATACTGATGAATTGATGAATTTACGAAATACTGATATATTGATGAATTTTCAAAATATTGCTGAAATGATGAATTTGTGAATTTGCGTGATATTGATGAATTAATGAATTTGCGAAATATTGATAAATTAATAACTTGATACTTTGAGATCTTATAGATTCCGAAAGATGATATATTTTCGACTAAAAGGTTCAACTTCACCTTCCCACAATAGTGTCCAAATTGAACATTGCAATAATATTCCGAATTTAATTTCTAACCTCATAAATGCGTAATATACAGCAACCTTATAGAATCCAGAATGCAATTCGTATCCATCACATGCAAATAAAAATTGGCCAAAAATAACTGAATAATTTCGACCAAAATTTCATAATTCATTTAAAATGTCAACGCAGTACGAGAATCTTGAAACGAATAATTTCGATAGCGTTTCGTCAAGAACGTCAGCACCGATGATTAGTGAAATCTTCGAGGGATTAACATTTTAACAAATCATCGGCAGCACGCTGGTTCGTTATGCTAATATTTGCACACCACTTACCTACATAACGCGGTGTCTACTTTAGCGAGGACTAGTTTCTGTTTTTACGCAACCTCGTTACAAATACCGCTCATCTGCCTTCCCGCAGTTTGTCAGGTTCAATGGCACAGCCTGCGTGATCGAGGTTCGTTACGTATCGATCATTAACAATCCGCCAGCCTGCGTTTTATTCGAACATTACGCCGCGGTAACTAATCGTTCGAGGTCGATAAACTTTCGACTCGTGCTATGCGGATGTTGTTACTGGCGCAATGAACAATCGTCTGAAATACGATTCTGCAAGTTCGATCAGATATCTAACTGCTGGAAAGTTGACTTTCATCTTGACGTGGAAATCTCGAAGTTTAATTACAAAGAAATCGAGAATTCAGTTTCATAGTCAACATTTTGTAGTAACATTGTAGTTTTTACTTAATACTCAGGTATTAAGTTTGAGAAAAAAATTCAATTCAAAGATTGCTATCAGAGATAAAATATTTTACGACAGTTTCGCTGCACTTCCGCCATTTTACTTCACTATTGTTATATCGTTTAATCGCTTAATTATATTATCCCTTATTACCCGTGAGCTTTATTACCCGTTCCACTAGTTATTTTACTACCACAGGAAAAGTTAATCGACGAATCGTTGCGTCACATCGTCAGCAATGATCCGTTATAAAGTTTTCTCATCTCGACCGGAAGATTTATCAAGCAAAGGTAAACAGTTCGATTAAAACTAAAGCATTTATCGCGTTGTTCTCAAACGAAGGTCTACTGTGGAGAACAATAGGCGCAATTACATCTCGCGAATTTTCTCCCATGATTAATGTAACAAGTACGGTAGCCGCGTTAAAAGTCAGAATTTCACCGTGAATCTCGGTGTATCCCGTTCGCATGCATGGCGAGCCAAGCGTCAAAAGAGATTTCTGGCGTACTTCACATATAGGGCGTTAACTGTGTTTTGACACGAATTAACTCGCGTAGGAACGAGCTCGAATCCACGAAAATGGACAAGTGGCACATCGCGAAGGTTGCAGCGGATCTCGTTTGCATTTCACTCTTTACCATAAATAACACACTTTCTAATGTTTCATCCACCTAAAGATTATTCTGTAAAAAGCGAACGTTACTTGTTCAGCGTATTCATTATTTAGATAAACAATTTCGTTTTCGTTTGTCACTCGCATTTTGTGAGATTCATTTTTTATATGATTTGTAGCATTGCATCACTATGAATAGTATTTAATATACCAACTTTTATTAATTATTTCCATATTGTTTTATTATAAAATGTACTTTTATTCATTATTTCAATATTGCAGGAATTAGTCAGTCTTGCCTGACGCAGGTGCTAAAAAAGTTATAGGTTACGTTTCGATTTCTTGTGTTATGATATTGAATCACTGTCATCGTATTGAAATAACATAAATCATTAACTGAATGTGTCATTAATATAATACTGCTTCAAGTTTGTAAATTTATAAAATTGAAGCCTTTCAAATGCAGCATGACAGGAACTCTTTCTATATTTTCAATTATGGAAATTCATAAAATTGCAGTCTTTTAAATGCAACATAATAGGAACTCTTTCTATATTTTCAATTTTGTAAGTTTATAAAATTGCAGCCTTTCAAATGCAGCATAACAGGAACTCTTTCTATATTTTCAATTTTGTAAGTTTATAAAATTGCAGCCTTTCAAATGCAACATAATAGGAACTCTTTCTATATTTTCTATTCTGTAAGTTTATAAAATTGCAGTCTTTTAAATGCAACATAATAGGAACTCTTTCTATATTTTCAATTTTAATAACATTTGAGTGCCACACAAATTTACTCTTGAGGTAATATGTCTGACAAAATCATTTTATGAAAAACATTTTACGTGTCCATTTGAATATTTACAAGTACACTATAATTAGCTATTTCTTAACTGATTACCATTAGAATCGCTTCGTATAGAATATCGCAATTCATTAGACGTTTCGAGAAAACGTGGGCGTAGAATATTACATCCGTCTGTCACTTCCAACAGAAAGAAGATATTTCGCAAAGAAGCGAAGGTGGAATAACTAGTCGTATTACTGACCTAAACAGTTTTATTCCGTTCCATTTCAGGTTGCGATATTCTTATACGACTTCACATCCGCCACGTCGGTGAACAGCAAGCTGAATCAGGAAACAAAGCACATCTACATCCTGCAGAATGCTCTGAAGAAACCTCCGAACGTGACAAAAAAGTTCTACAGTTCCACCGTTTCGCCCGAAGTGAATAGCACAAACATTCGCATCGAGAGCCGCTCGGACAATGAAAATCCTGGGAATCCTTTCTTGTACGATGAGACTGACGAGTATAAAGCGGCCGATGCTGAGATCAGATCGCAGAACTTGAATAATTTTAAATTGCGTAAAAGAGTGCTGAAATCGGTTGAAAACAACGAGGAAGCGGAGGGTAAACAGTTGTTCGACAATCATGCGCTTGTTTATCGTGTGAGACATAGGTAAGACACAATATGTCTACATGTCTGTCTTCACTTTTGTAACTTTTACGTACATGTCTTCATATGTGACTTTTACATATGTATCTTCAAATGTAACTTCACATGTCTATCTACAAATGTATTATCTACATATGTACCTTCAAATGTAACTTCTACATATGCATCTTCAAATGTAACCTCACATGTCTACCTGCAAATGTATGATCTACATATGTATCTTCAAATGTAATTTCTACATATGCGCCTTCAAATATAACTTCACATGTCTACCTACAAATGTATGACCTACATATGTATCTTCAAATGTAACTTCTACATATGCATTACAAATGTATTATCTACATATGTACCTTCAAATGTAACTTCTACATATGCATCTTCAAATGTAACCTCACATGTCTACCTGCAAATGTATGATCTACATATGTATCTTCAAATGTAA